ATTAGTTAATGGCCTTGTACTCTGATGCTCCCAATATCTTCATCCTCATTATCATTAACCACAAAGACAATCATAATCAGAGCCTCCTTGATATTGTGGGGGTTCACTACATGCCTGGAATACTGTCAACCTTATTAAATGAGTTATAAAAATTTTTTTTTTTTTTTTTTTTTTTTTTTATCACTACACAAGGTAAACATTTTTTGGTGGCCCTTTACCAATTTCTCCCCAGCCCCGCATCCCCCCCTTTCCCACCTCTGGTGTCCTCAGTTCCATTCTCTCCTTTCAAGAGTTCAAGGAATTATTGTAATTGTTGTATCTTTCTTTCTTTATCTTTTTTCAGCTCCCACTTACAAGTGAGGACATGCGGTATTTCTCTTTCTGTACCTGCTTTATTTCACTTAACATAATTTTCTCTAAGTTCATCCATGTTGCTGTGAATGGCAGAATTTCATTCTTTTTCATGGCACAGTAATATTCCATTGTGTAGATATACCACATTTTCCTTATCCACTCATCCACTGATGGACATTTATGTTGGTTCCAACTCTTGGCTATTGTAAATAGAGCTGTGATAAACATGGGTGTGCAGGTATCTCTTCAACATGATGATTTCCATTCCTTTGGGTTTATACCCAGCAGTGGGATTGCTGGATCATATGGCAGTTCTATCTGTAGTTGTTTGAGAAAAATCCATACTGTTTTCCACAATGGCCGTACTAATGTACAGTCCCACCAAAGGTATAGGAGGGTTCCCCTTTCTCCACATCCTCACCAGCATTTGTTATTCTCTATCTTTTTAATAATAGCCAGTCTAACTGGGGTGAGATGATATCTCACTGTCGTTTTGATTTGCATTTATTTTTTCTGGTGTCTGTTGGCCATTTGTGTATCTTCCTTTGAGAAATGCCTATGCAGCTCCTTTGCTAATAGGGACAAAGTTTAATGTGTTTCCAGCCGTACTTGCATTTTCTTCATTCAATATAATTTTGTCCTTGCTCGCTCTGATTCTGCCCTTTCCCAGCTTTCCAAAGACAGCTTGACCTGTGGCAGTGTGGTTCTTGGAATTTTGTAATGTTGAATTGTGGTAATTGGGAAAGGACAGAAGAAAAGAGAGGAGAGGCGGGGCCAGTGAGAGGGAGAGAGAGAGAGAGAGACAGACAGACAGACACTGACTTATGGAAAGGAGAGAGGGAGACTTGGGGATCAGCCAGAGAGTATACAGTTGGAGAATGAGAAGAAATGGGGAAAAGAGGATTTGAGTAAGTATTGAGTAAGTATGGTTCTGGATCAGGAATTAGATCCTCTTTTATGCTCTGTGACTAATGCAGATAAAACTTACTCTTATTTTATATTTGATGACCTGACTGGCTTTCTTGACATTCCTGAAACTGGCCCAAGTGGAGCCCTGTGATTTACTTGGCTTATTTGGGTTTTATCTTATGTGACCCTCATAATAATCTCAGGTGAAATAAAAAAAAAATTATTTCATTCCAAAAATAAACGCTGAAGCCTGGAAAGGCTACATGGCTTTCCTAGGGCCACATAGTGAGCAAAAGGCAGGACCAGATACCATACAACCCAGCAATCCTGCTACCAGATATACACCCAAAAGAATGGAAATCATCATGTTGAAGGGATACCTGCACTCCCATGTTTATCACAGCTTTATTTACTATAGCCAAGAGTTGGAACCAACCTAAATGTCCATCAATGGATGAGTGGATAAGGAAAATGTGGTATATATACTCAATGGAATACTACTCAGCCATAAAAAAGAATGAAATTCTGCCATTTGCAGCAACATGGATGAGCTTGGAGAAAATTATGTCAAGTGAAATAAGCCAGCACAGAAAGAGAAATAACACATGTCCTCATTCATAAGTGGGAGCTAAACAAACAAACAAACAAACAAACAAACAAACAAACAAACAAACACCACAATAATACGTTGAACTTTCAGAAGGAGAGAACAGAACTGTTGTTACTAGAGGTGGGAAAGGGGGGCGGGAGTTTAGGGAGAAATTGGTAAGGGGCCACAAAGAATGATTACATTTGTGTGTGTGTGTGTGTGTGTGTGTGTGTGTGTGTGACCGGGAAGGGGATCATAACCCTCGGCTTGGTGTTGCCCACACCGCGCTCAGTCAGTGAGTGCACCGGCCATCCCTATATAGGATCCGAACCCGCTGCGGGAGCGCCGCTGAGCTCCCAGTGCCGCACTCTCCCGAGTGAGCCACGGGGTCGGCCCGAGAATGATTACATTTTGCAGTGATTACATTTTACATTACATTTTGCTAATTATCCTGATTTAATCATCACTTATTATACACAAATACTGATAGTCAACTCTATACCCCACAACTATGTATAATCAATTATATTTCAAAAAGAAAAGGACAGGACCAGGACTTAAGACTTGTAATTCACCAAAAGCCACACCATTGACCACTGCTTTTAAGTCACTCCCATAAACTATGGAAATACAATGCAGGTTGTAATTCAGGCATAAAGAAAATGTCCAAGACAGTATAGTAGGGACACAATCAATCAATCAAGAATTTGTTTAATTTGTTGTAGGACAGGCTCCTTGATACACCTTCCCATCTGGAGATTTGGGGCTTTCTTTTGCTGGGTCAGTCTGCAGTATAGTCTAGAAGGAAGGAGGCCAGATTTTAGAGTCATTTTGGGGTTTGAGTCCCACCTCTACCATTTCTTAGCTGTCTAGCCGTGAGCGAATAGATTCCCTGTCCTGAGCCTTGTTCACTTCTTCTATAATGCCTCGTAGAGTGTTGGATAGGATTAGTAAGACATAATATTCACGAAGTTCTGATCACAGGAATCCCTCAATAAATATTAGCCTTTGTTTTAGGTGTTATTGTTGGTGGTGTTGCTAAGAGCATTGTTGCAAAGAACTTTATTGCTAAGAACATTACTAAAAGTTTTTTGTTTGTTTCCCAGGTGGGGGTAGTTCCAGCCGGCCCTTGGAGAACAAGTCTAGGGTCACAAGCTGTCACAGGAGGAGAAAGCAGTGCATCAGGCATTGCACTGGGGACCTGCTGCCTGTTGGGGAAGAGCTAACCCCAACGGCTGCCACTGGCTTGTTTACTCCATTTCTTCCCTGATATCCACATGCTCCAACAGGCCTTCCATGGACGGTCATGGGAATGAAAAGACCGTGGAGGAAATCTTCACGGCCAGTTGAAAGGCCCCTTCTTGGTGTGCTTAGGGAAGAGAACTGAGCCTTCGTGGAAAACCTAGGTTGGCCCAGAACTATGGACATGGGTACAGAGAAACTGTACTACAGGGAGACCCATCCAGGGAAAAAGCAAACCCCGGCTGCAGCAGAGCTACTCACCGTTGACGTAGAGACTGTCCCTGTCCAGGGTGTAGGAGCCCAGCCGAGTGACACCGTGGGTCTGCTGGCTCAGCTCCCAGTACAGCCGTGCTGGGTCCAGCTTGTGGCCTGTGGGACCTGGGTGGTAGGTGCAGACCGCATCTATGCTGGTGCTTGTCCCAAACTTTTCAGCCCTGGGGAGGGAGGACATGGGAACAGGGACATGCAGAGATGAATGTGAGAGCTGGATGCTCTCGACAACTTCCTTCGGTCATACCGCTTGGCTTTCACTCTTCTCTGGGTTTCATCTGCTTTCTCAGAGACATCTTTTTCTGTCTCCTTTGGGGATCCAGACCCCTTACTTCATTAAATGTAGCGTTCTCCAGGGCCGCTCATCAGCTGACTTTCCTCTTATGCTCCCCATTCTCTTTTTACAGTAGTCCACCCGCCTTATCCACAGTTTCAGGGTTTGCCCCGATATGGTGCAGATGAGCCAGGGCAGAATTCCGGGGTTACCATTGGTAAAGATGCCCCACCGGCTGCCTCTATGAGATCTAATTAATTGAGCGGTCACAATGAGCCAGGCACTGGGCTGAATGATTAACCGCCCCAAGAGTCAGGGACTGTTACTATCATCATTTTACAGACCATGTGATTGAGGAACAGAGAGGTTATGTGCCTTGCTCAGGGTCACACAGCTAGAAAATGGAAGACGAGAAGTTCAAACCAAGGCCCTTTGGGTACACTATGCTATAATGCCTCTTGGCAAAAGTTCAAGCAGCCGTGGCTACCTTGGAGGCAGGAGACCAAGAAAGGACAGAAATGAGGTTGCTGTAGTTGCTGTGGACAGGTCTCACCTGAGCAGGGTCAGCCTGCAGCTGGTGTACAGGGAACCAACAGTGCTGTTCTGGAACAAGGGCTCGAGCTGGGAAGGAATGAGAGGGAGATGAGCAGAAGCGGCTGAGAATGCAGGGGGTGGCAGAATTGAGGCCAGGTGGGCATTGGTGTGGTGGGGGGACTCTCACCAGGTGCTGCAGGGTCCTCTCAGTGGCATTGAATATCTCAGAACCCGGCTGCCCCATGTCCTCCACATAGTGCAGGTTGGTGATGGTGAAATTGACAGTAAAAGGCATCAATAAGGGAACTTCAGCTGCATGGGGGAGGGTAAGAAGAGACCAGTCTTGAGTCAGGCCCTTGGCTGGGGGTGGAAGGAAAGGCTCTGAGGACACATTTTAATTCCAGTGCCGAGCTAGAGTCCAGCCGGGGCTGTTCAACTTGAAATTCCTCCTGTAGCAGTCACTACCCAAGACCTTCCTACAAAGGGTGACCAGCTACCCTGGTTTGCTTGGGACTGTGTGGGTTCCTGGGATGCAGACTTTCAGTTTTACAAGTGAGACAGTTCTGGGCATGCAAGATAAGTGGGTTACCCCACTTCACATTCTTTTCGGTCTTACCATTTTAGCACACACCAGCATCTCTTTGTCTTGAGAGAATTAGCAGGCACAGGGAGCATCCCTCCAACAATGACTGGAGAATGGGGTGGATAAATACCCCAGCTCCCTCATTCCTTGGGTGGGATGACTCCAAGGTGCACATTCTCTGCATTTTCCCAGTGTTCTCCTCTAGCCTCCAGAAGGTGGAGACAATAAATTTCTGTCGTTTAAGCCACTCGGTTTGTGTTATTTTGTTAAGACAGCCTTAGCAAACTAACGCACACCATACGACCGAGCAATTTCTTTCCTAACTATGCACCCAAGAGAATCGAAAACAGGGACTCAAACAGATGCTTGGACACCGATATTCATTGCAGCGTGATTCACAATAGTCAAAAGGTGGGAACAACCCAAGTGTCCATCGACAGATGGATGGATAGATAAAATGTGGTATATCTGTACAACAGGATATTATTCATTCATTGGAAGGAATGAAGTTCTGATACATACTGCAGTGTGGATAAACCTTGAAAACATTATCTTAAGTAAAATAAGCCAGACACAAAACCACAAATACGGTATGATTCCACTTACGTGAAATATCTAAAACAGGCAAATTCATAAGGTAGGAAGTAGCTTAGAGCTTAGCATGGGCTGGAGAGAATGGAGAATTACTGATAAATGCGAATAGAGTTTCTGTGGGGGGTGATAAAGTTTTGGAAACAGATAGTGGTGATGGCTGCACAACAGTGTGAATATAATTAATGGTGCTGAATTATACACCTAAAATGGTTAAAATTGCAAATTACATATATATTTTTTACCATAATAAAAAAGTGATCCTTACTTGTTCCCGAGGTCATACTCTCAGAGGCCAAGGTGGACATCCCAGGTGTGGTCAGAGGGGCAACGGGGCCCCCAGCCAGTGTGTTGAACATGGTTGTGGTCTCAGCCACAGTGGGGCTGGAGCCTGTGGCAGTTAAATTAGTGGTCTCAACAGTTGTACTTTTCAGGACAGTGGTTGGACTCGCTCCTTCTCCATGACTGGTTTTAGGCGGTGTTGGGGTCCCTGATGGTATCAAGGTCATAGTGGTGCCTGTGACAGTCCTGGAAGATTCTGGGGGTCCAGCTGAAGTCACAGGCTGTGAGGATTTTGTGCTCCAGGAAGTTACAGTATTAGGCTCACCAGTTGTTCCATGGGCACTGGTAAGCCCAGGGACATCAAGGGAAACCGTCAGAGTTGGGATACCTGTGCTGGTCTCTGCTGAAGAGGTAGGAGTCAATAAGTCTGTGGTCTCTGATAAACCAGGGGAAACAGGTGAAGTTGGAGTAATTGTGCTGGAATCTGTCCCAGAATGGGTGGGGAGTGAGGTTGTTTCTGCAGGAACACCAGGTGAAACAGTTGGTCCTAGGTCAACTCTGCTGGTCTTAGTCGTGGGTGTGGTAAAGGGAGAGGACGTTGTCTCTGGTGAACCAAAGGAAACAGTCTGACTTGGAAGAGTTGTACTCATCTCCATCCCAGGTGTGATGGATAGTGAAGCTGTGGTCTCTGATAAATGAGAAAAAACAGTTGAAGCAGGAAATTGTGTGCTCGTCTTTGCACTGGGCTGGGTGATCAATAAGGTCATGGACTCTGGTTCACCAGGAGAGAGACTAAGAGTTGGGATAGTTGTGCTGGTCGCTTCCCCAGAACTAGTGACCTGTGAGGTCACCATATCTGGTGCACCAGGTGAGATAGTTGTTGTTGGCACAGCTGAACTGGCTTCTGTCCCAGGACGAGTGGCCATTAGAGGTGTGGTCTCTGGTTTACTATGAAAAAAATTGGGGATTGTTCTGGAAACAGGTGTACTGATCTCTCCAGAATGGGTGGCCCATGAGGTTGTTGTATCTGACTCACCAGAGGAAATAGTCAAAGGCAGAACATTAGAACTGGTCTGTGCCCCTGGATGGGTAACCAATGAGGCTGTGGCTTCTGGTTTACCAGGAGAAAGACTCAGAGTTGGAACGGTTGTACTGGTCACTTCCCCAGAATTAGTGACCTGTGAGGTCACCACCCCTGGTACACCAGGTGAGGTCACTATAGTTGGAACAACTGAACTGACTTCTGCCCCAGAACTGGTGGCTGTTGAGGGTGTGGTGTCAGATTCATTATGGAAAAAAGTTGAGGTTGTCCTGGGAACTGTTGCACTGTTATCTGTAGGATGGGTGACCCATGAGGCTGTTGTCTCTGGTTCATGCGGGGACTCAGTCAGTGCTGGGAAACTTATACCACTGTCTGTTCCAGAACTAGTGATCTGTGAAGTCACCACCCCTGGTCCAGTAGGTGAGATCATTGTAGGTGGAACAGCTGAACTGGCTTCTGTCCCAGGACTGGTGGCTGTTGAGGGTCTGGTGTCTGATTCACTGTGGAAAAAATTGGGGATTATACTAAAAACTGTTGGTCTGCTTTCTGCAGGATGAGTGACCCATGAGGCTGTTGTTTCTGGTTCATGTGGGGACTCAGTGTGTATTGGAAAAGTTGTGGTCCTAGAACTAGAACTAGTAACCAGGAAGGTGACCATATCTGGTACACCAGGTGAGATAGTCATTGTTGGAATGGCTGAACTGGCTTCTGTTCCAGGACTGGTGGCCATTGAAGATGTGGTATCTGGTTTACTATGGAAAAAACTTGGGGTTCTTCTGGAAACACGTGTGATGGTCTGTTCAGAATGGGTGACCCATGCAGCTGTTGTCTCTGATTCGTGTGGGTAATCAGTCAGAGTTGGTAGCATTGTACTGGTCTCTGCTTCAGAACTAGTGACCAGTGAGGTCACCATTCCTGATACACCAGGGGATGCAGTTGGAGTTGCAGTGGCTGAACTGGCCTGTGCTCCAGGATGGGTGACCAATGACACCATGGTGTCTGCCTCAGCAGGAGAAAGAGTCATGGTTGGAGTGGCCATACTGGTATCTGTAGTAGAACTAGTGACCTGTGAGGTCACCATATCTGGTACACGAGGTGAAATAGTTATAGTTGGGACAGCTGAACTGGCTTCTGATCCAGGACTGGTGGCCACTGAGGATGGGTTGTTTGATTCACTATGGGAAAGACTGGAGGTTGTCCTGGGAACCATTGTGCTGGTGTCTGCAGAATGAGTGACCCACGAGGCTGTTGCCTCTAGTTCATGCAGGGATTCAGTCAGTGCTAGGAATGCTGTACTGGTGTTTGTCCGAGAACTAGTGACCTGTGAAGTCACCACCCCTGGTACAC